GAGTTTTCTAACTCGGTGAACGAATCACCAGCCAACAGACCATCGACCAGTTGATGCACCATGCGGAATAAAGCTCAGAAAGCTATCCAGTGACCCACATGACGTTTCTAAGCCAATGAACGCACGATTAGATGGTTCCTCACTCCCAAGTGTATGAAGTTCAAACTCGGAAAAGAATTCAATGAATAGCGAGGAGCGACTTCACAATTAGCGGTTATCACATGACATCGGCATTCTTGCTGTCACACAGTAACAATGGAGCTGTCCCAACCGCTATGTGCATTGAGTGGTGAACTTGAAGAGCTAAGTATATGGTGTTCAGCAGCTTGAATCTACCAGAGAGCCAGACTTCAGTCCCAGTGGCGTTCTTTTCCCGCAAAAGTATTTCAGAAAGATATTGATACACGCCGCTTGTGTGTGAAAATGATCAGTAACTATAATCCCCCATCATTACCGACGCTGTTTCGTCACCCAGCGCAGACTGTAAACACCGCAGACTGTCGGACAAGAATTTTTCTTCACAGAACGCAGTAGATCAGAGAAACTCCCATCCTTATGTTCTCTGTCCATCTCCATAACCTAATCAACCAAGTTGCGCAGACCTGAGTTAATTATTCATCCTCCGTGTTCTTATTTTACCGCAAATAGCCTAATTTGTTGCCATTGTGACACCGCAGTTTCTCGCTTTTTTTTCTCTGCTCTTACTTTGTTCCGTTACTGATCACTGTTAGGTATTGTGTAGAACCCTCGGACAACGACTCAAGGATGATCATACATAACCTGTTACTCCAAAGGGCGACGAGGGCATTCGAGGAAGTGATACAGGTCTACGCCGGGTTGTGAAGTAATAGTGGGGCCCAATGTGGCATTATTGTTGTGGCTGGTGGGGTTGGAACTCGTTTAGTTAGCCTTAATCTATGTTTGAAAAAAATATGACCATCGCCTCACCTTCCATGAACAAACGAAGTGCGTCTTGTGCATACATGCTCAGACATACTGTCGTCTTATGGGAGCGCTCAGACGACAGTAGATGGATGGTATGTACTTTACAGCTTGTCATCAATATCATTCCCCTTCTCATGATCATACTCGCACACACTAAAGCAAAGGGCTTTGGGCCCAAACTCTGCTCTTACCAGAGCTCGTTAGCAGTGCATATTTCTTCCTGATTCGATCTTTAAATCATGTATCTAACAATTTGGGTTCAAATAGAACATAAGGTTGACTGAAACTAGGGAACTGCGCCTACCTGATGAGCCCTAAGCGGAAGGACGAAACCGGTCGTGGGCTGTCGAAGAGTTTTCAGCAACCTTATGAGTGGTTTCTTTCACAAAAGCCATCTAACAACTTTCTTGCCGACGGCGTAGGTTACGTGCCCGTTGTNCGAAAACCGGTCGTGGCTGTCGAAGAGTTTTCAGCAACCTTATGAGTAGTTTCTTTCACAAAAGCCATCTAACAACTTTCTTGCCGACGGCGTAGGTTACGTGCCCGTTGTTTGAAACGTCCAAACAGGAAAGGGTGTTCACTGTAGAGCTACGGACAAGTTTATCCATCAGCTTTGAATAAACGGTTCTATTTGTGCTGACTGTCTGACTCACGGTAGTGATTTCTCAGTCAGTTGGCTTCATGGGCTTCGGGAAACTTACGGAAAGGTTCCGGGAGAAAATCGCACTGTGAATACGATGCACCAACTAATTTAGTATTTTTCTTGAAGAACGATCCATGTTGAATGTCAGTTTTAGTTCCATCAGTAAGTCATTCCGAATCACACACGTCAAACGTGTTCCGCGGAAAACACATGGTCGCGAGCTATGTAAGGTTTATGCGGACATAACGAGCAATAAACAATATACTACTTGGTTTAGTAAAACAAAGAACCAGGATACTGATCAAATGAGCAACATACCTAGTAAATTTCCGACAGTGCGCGAAAATACCGGGCCACATATTCAAGAGGTCGTATGTTTTGGCTAACGACCGAACATTCAAAGTTGAGTTTGTTCACTGGATTGTAACCAAGCCCAAGACAGATGGGTGGCGGCCCCATGAAAGGCAGCAAACGGTGTGCGTTTGAGAGCTGCATAAAAACTATTGATCTGTTTCAACTTACGGCCAATGGAAAACCGGTTTCATATTCTTGTCTGACTGGATGGTATCAAGCTGACGGAAAGCCACAACATTTTATGTAATTTTCTCTAAAATGCCTGTCGGTTAGTTCATATTAGGTGATTTTCTAATCAACTTTCACTTTTTGAAAGTGAAATGGCCAAATGTTTCTGGTTATTCTGTATGTTTCTGTACAATGTTATGCAGATTACTCAGTGTTATGCGGGTTGTCAGGCAGGGTTGCTGCTGAAAGACATGAGAATTATCGCGTGACCAATTAAGCATTATTATCGAGGCTATTTAACCGAGCAGTGACAACTATTCACTCGATTGAGCTTCAAATTAGTCCACAGAAAGATTGGACGCCAGAGAGATTAGCCTGAGGGATGAAACGCATTCACCCTCCGATTCAATACTACTCATAAGGTCGTTAATAGCTACGAACAACCCACAATCAGTTTCATTCCTCATCACGTGGTCCTAAAGTCCAAATTTTCATCGACCTAATTTTCTGCTTCCAAACTAATTTCATGAAATCCATTTTCGACTTGACTTTCTGTTGGCGGTAGATCCAGTTGGGCGAAGAATTTCTGTGCTACATCTAGCTGTCACGCCCTTACATATGTGGAACTAAATCGAAATTGTTAGTAGTGTATAGAGTTTCGAGTGTTTTACACTTGAGACGTCGTTACGCAATGAGGCCGGTCTATGGTGAAAAGCAGAGAAACCGTACAGTGGTTTTATTGTGAGTCATCCGTAAGGCGCATCACACGCAACTCCAGTACGAATTACTGAATCCGCGACCTAGCTGGTAGTTTGAACGCTCTACCGTTTGGCCACGAGTGATCAATCAGAATTGTGAGTGACGTGCGTTTAGAAGGGATATAGCTCCATCCTTTATTCGATTAATGAATTCGCCCAAGCCAGACAGTGAGGGTTACCGAGACAGAGGCGTGACGGGGGACGACTTTCCAGATGGTCATGTGACCGCTGAGAATCGATTATCTTATCAACACTCAAGGCTTACAAAACTGGTAGTCAATATCTAATTGGGTCCAGTAAAGTCCCAGTCAAGGCTACCTGACCTTTTACCTACAGCCATATTTTATGATCCCACACAAAGCTAGATGAGTTCAGTAGTTGGGCAGTGTTCAGATCCGGACTAGTCCATTGGTTTCAGGTTTTCTCAAAATGGCCATTGGTAAAAATAGTGAGAACTGTGTGTGTAGCACAGCGTGATAAAGTCTGAGGAGGAAAAAAGTCAAATTTGTAAAATATATCAATGGGGAGTGTTGAAGTCATGTTGTTCTGTTGAAGATACACGCAATTTACTCAGCCACTTTTTGTAAATTGTTTTAGTTTCACATCACTCTCGTCCTGGCGCATTTACTCTGGGGAATCTACACCTGAGCACTGGACTCGAGCTTTGTTTTTGTTAGAGCTCATCAGCAGTGCATGTCCAATGACCGATTTGAAATTTGGGCATCTGACATGCGAGGCGAACGTGTTACCACTATTCCACCAGCGTACGTTGAACGCATCTGAATTCTCACGGCTGAACGGGCGAACGTGTTCGCACTTAAGTGATGTGATTAGCATGCCCGACACATCNCGAACGACGACCCAGTAACTGTCCTGGTTATGACGATCGATTGACCCGCCAGTCAGGTAGCTCCACAGATGCTTGTAACCCGCTGGACAACGTTTTGTTGATGCATGATGGGGTTCAAAACGAGAGTGATGTGAAACTGAACAGAACACCTCCCGCAAAACCCCCACATGCATAAAGTGTTTTAGTTGGTTTCTGCGGACAAGAAAGAGACTTTCGTAAAACTATTCAAGGCAGTGATGATAGTGGGCGGTTAGTGAGGAGACGTTTGCTTTGGAGGACCAATGATGCCTCTTGATTGGGACGAAGCTTTTGCGAGCTAATTGTCTAGCTCAGCAAACATGTCAACGGCCACCTGATCAACCATCAGGCGTATAGTATTCCACGTTTGAATAAACTTCCCAAAGAAACTCCATCTGGTAATATCAGAACACATGGTAAGCTGGACAAACTGGCATAAACGTAAGACACAAATCTTAAGAATGCGCAAGACCGGTTTCACCCCTCTTGCGGGTCATCAGGTTCGCACACTTTCTGAGTTTCCGTCAGCATTGTGTTCCATCTGAACCCAATTAGCACGAAATTCGACTTCTACGCTCATATGCATACGTATTTTGCTTTGATCGGAGAACGACCTGCTACTCGGCCGAATCTCTCGCTCGTGCACCATAAATTCATTATGAATTCATCACCATCGCATCAACCGCTGATCTCAGAAGCACACCAATCAGAAAATATCTTATCGAACCTAAATAAGCCTACAGTTGACACAACTGATGAGTTAAATCCTTGAAAAGAGTGCCCACGGTGACCGAAACTTCGGGCTCTCCATAAATGGTGTCTACATTTTAAACAGAAAGTGAATAAGTCACCATTTTAGTTTGGAACTCCGCACCTTCAGTCCGCAACCAGTAATTATCCACAAAAAGCGTTCCATGCGTTGATAAGTCTGTGGCTTCAGTCTGTGACTTACCAACATTTCCAGTTGACATGCAAACAGTTCAACAGAAGGACGTCCCAATAGTGGTTGGCACAACCACTAACCCACTGATACGCACCACTACGCTCCCGAATAACGCACTGATGATGTCACCTCGATTGGTGATGAAACGTTTGCAAACGAATTGCCCAGCTCAGCGAACAAGCCAACGACCACCATCTACGTTACCTGAGCTACCAACATTTTCCTCCATAGGGAACCAAGTTTTTGACTTCATTTTGGCGGCCTCTTTTCATTCAGGAACCACATCTATTCAAATTAGAACCAGATGGTACCAAAACATACAGGAAGCATTTCTCGACCGTTATTCCCGCCGTTCCCATCCCTCGGTTTGAGCTTCTGTCCCAAAATGAGCAGTGGCTCAATTGCTTTGATTACTAGAATGCATATGATGGATAGAGAATATATGCTTCGAAATATAACGAAGCAGCTCAAAAGGTTTACAACACAGCGAACCAAATGAATCAAATGAACCAGAACCTACCGAATCTGCAAGCGGTTGGTTCTACTCTATTCAGTTTTAGACCACAATGTGACTATCCTCAGCGGCTCACAAGTAGAGTCTTAAAAAGTTGCCCCACTCTGGTTTCTTCGTAAAGAAAACTCAGCTTTCCCATTTAGAGAGTTGTTTTTCATCTGCGGTCAACCGCATATATTCGGGTGATAAAATTTCGTCTTGTCGAATGGCTCAATGTCAGTTCGCCGGTGACGATAACTGCGTAGGCAGGATAGCATCGCTGAGGATCTACTGAATGGCTGGTCACAAAGATGGACCAATCGTTGAGACAGGCAAACCTTCCTTTGTCATCGACCTAACATTAGGTGCTGGATGCAGGTCATCAGAGAGGCTCCAAGACACCGCGAAGAAAGACTCGCCAAGTATCTAGACGTATTCCATTTGACGTAAAAGTCTTCGATTACGGGGAAAAGTGATAAAAGCGGATACAAGTGATCAGACACGAAAACACCTCATTTTCACGCGTTTTTTCGAAAAAGTATTCATTTTCAAGCATCCCTCCTAAGCTTTCTCGGATATCATTCGAATATTTAGCATTGATGAACCAACATATAAAACGGTTCAGTGATTTCCAAATCAATCTTCCATCTGCTTGACCAGATCCTACTCGCAAGTTTCATCAGTAGTATACATCATGTCATCACTAACTGTATCCTTCTAAACATGGGACTGTCGGGCGCCCACCAAGTACCGTGATTCCCCATATGCCTCTCCAATAAAACGAGAATCGAGCTACTACGAAGGTAACAAGTTACAATTACAAAAGCGATGACAGTCGCATGGGCTAAACGTTTTCTTGTCTTGATTTCTATTCCCATTTGATTTCGAACAGACCTTTAAGTGGTGCGGATAATTTTGAATAAAGACATTGAATGCATTATTTCGTCCAGATTTTCCATCACGTTTGTCGTTGCCTGTAAGGGATTTGAACATAACAGGTAGACATATTTGTTCTTCTGTTTTATGACATCTGAATTTTCAGTAGTAGTTTTGTATCCAGGGTGAAGTTTTGTTTATGTTCACATGAAACTTCCGACTAGACTTACTCTATTTTTTTCATATATTGAGCATTGAACTTGCAGCACCTATTTTCCGAGAACAAAGTGCTAATCATTCCCTCGCCGTTTAGTTCTCCCCAATGCATAGCAGTTGACGAGCTCCGTGTCGACTTAACGGCTGACTGGTAGCTGACAACAGGAGTACTGTGACAGTCACACTCGATTTCATCAGTTCTCAGGTTCATCACTTCAAAGGTAGCTCAGTGATCAAGAAGCAAGACCTTCCACGCACCAGACACTTTTGGTTCTTATTGAGTTCTTCATAGTACAGCGACTTTATCAGAGAGATTATTCAATTCCTTCCAAGCGTTTTCTCTCACTGAATCGCCCAACACTGAATCGTAGCTGACGAGCAAAACTCTTCTGAACTTTTTTGTGACCTAGCCTCCCTCAAGATGGGTATGTTGCTAGGACAACTGGTGCTCTGTTACAATAGGTGCATCAAGGCCTTACGTGGATGATCCTGTTTTTTGGAGTTAGTGCTTATGACATTAGATACATATGCAGCTTACTGGTTTGAATTTCCCTTCAACGATAGCTGTCATTATGGATCCTCAAAACCGGATATGGAAGTGCTTAGCTTTGTGCCCAGCTAAAGCAGTGGGAAGCCTCCTGGACGTTTATTTCCCAAGGTTCTTCAAGGCTTTCACTGGCAAGTGCTGAAGAGTTTGTCTGATCAATAGCCACTGTCAGTCCCAAGAAGCAAAAGCCTTCCTCCCCCAAATTGCATCCTAATGGATCGATATTTCTTGTACATATCAGCTTTATTTTCCTGACCAAATCCCTTTCTAAACAATTCTTTATCTTGTGATTGATCTCATCGTAAAACCTGGCAAAACCGCACTACTTGAAACGGGGGGGGGGGGCAATAGCCATTCCGTTCGCTCTCTGCAATGTTCACGGTTGCTAATCGAAGATTCCTTAAAAACTGTGCCTGTTAAATGCGGCTCAAACTGTCTGTGCACGTTGTAAACTGGATTTGAGCAATTCAGATGAGTTCCAGCAAAATGGATTGTCACTGTCACTTTTGATTATATCCAATCAAATTTCCACTTGGATGACTTCATCTGTTCCTTCAAACCTGTCAATCTGTCCAACCAACTTTCGTTTAGCCTGCTGAAGATCAGTGTTCCGTGCACAACTATTCAAAGTGTCCATCACCTGGAAATCAGAACAAAGTAGAAGGCATATCCCTGAAAAAATAAACGATCCTGTTGCCTACCAAGACCAGAATGTGAGCTGTAAATCCTAGTTATCCTGTTCAGATCACCGTGAATAGCTAACAACGAACAGATTGAATTTCGGCACTACTGATCACTACGAGTAGTATATTTTGCTGTCATTGTAGCTTACTTTTGATAATAACAGGGGGGAAAATCAATCGATTGGATATGTATTTACTCTAGTAAGGCTCCTCTGAATGCAGGACAGTATTACGCTCCGTGACCTTGGGAGTGCAAATGAATTGGTGCCATTGAAAAAATTTCTAGTATACTATACCTTAAATATCCCCAACAGAAGGAAACTGTCAAAGTAAAACGTTCTCCACAGGTCTACGAAACTTGGAATGGGATATATCGAATTCCAATAATTCCTCATTTCAGTGGTTTCTGCAATAAGTGTCAGAATTTGCAAGAAATCAGAGCCTCCGTGGGCAACTTTAACAAGTCGTGCCTAAATGTGTAAAGACAGATTTACACTCGTCGTCCTTTTGCCTAGTTACGAATTATAATGGGCAAAAGAAGACAGGCAAATTTCAACTTGGATGGGCAAGGTTCCATCATCATGATAGAATATGTGAGCTCCTGACATTGTGCATTTCATAATACTCGGGTCACATAGTGAGAATTACTCAACGTTAGGTTGATTGTTGAATGAAGGAATGAGTGCTCAATTATCGCAGGACGAGTTACATTTGTCCAGCACATTTCATGAATTTCATTTACTTAAGCAGCAATCGCTTGCGTAAGACTTTTTAAATGTAGTTACGCATCAAACAGATCAATAAGATATCGATTATTGAACTGTGCATCAAGTGTGACGTTGACTGTTGCATAGGGCAGTATTTTCTAACTCAAAGAGGCTTGAAATCTTCAACTGTTATGAATTTTTTACTTCCTGCCCTGGCCTTCAAAACATTTGTGGTGCAAACATACAAGGATACAATAGCGTAACAGGGAGAATAGGCTTTTGACAAGTGCTGTATCGATTTATTGAACGTAAGTTGGACACACATACGAACCGTGGCGTGCAGAAACACCCATTTTGCGTAGTATGTGACAGCATGATTGACTGCTGTTTTTGGGGGTTCTGCGGGATAGGCGTTTTGCCCATAGTCACATCACTCTCGTTTGAAGGCACGTCTCCCTGCTCTGACGTAATTATTCCGGTTAGTGCACACCAAAGGGAAGCATTAGACTCGAGTTCCGCCCTTATTAGAGCTCATCAGCGGTGCACATCCAATGGCCGTGCCGGGATTTGAACCCCTGACATCCAGCATGCGAGGCGAGTGTGTAACCACTGCTACACCAAGGCACGTTGGACGCAGCTTTATTTTCACATCTGAACAGGCGGATGTGTTCACGCTTGAGCGATGCGATTGGTGTGCCCGACGATCGAACGATGAGATGTCGAGTTAGTATACTGTGTCACGATTTGATTTGACCAGAATTCAGGTTCAAGAACTGGTCAAAATTAGTGCAGAATGGCTTTATCTCCCTTCCGGATCTTTCACGCTTTAGCGGGATTGATCGCCCCTTTGTAATCCTATTTTAGGTTTATTTGGTCTCAAATCAGCTATGATGAACAGAAACTCCCATCACGAAGATGCCCCAGATGCCAGACAGAACAAGGCAAAGGAATCAGATGACAAACTGCCGTCCATATTTGATGAGCGCAACGGACGACTGCGCCGGTTATCCGTCGCCCAAGGAGTTAGAAAGCTGACACTGGCTTCAGGTGCATGTGAGTATCATGATCAAAATCCAAACAGATTTGCATTGCTGTAGTGCGTTTTGGATAAATTGCCAATTGCAAGTAGTGAAGCCATGTAGCACCCCCCCCCCCCCTGCAAACATCCACATCAGAGCGCTTAAGAAAGAAAATCCGGGTTCAAGTAGATCATAAGGTTGAAGGAAACTCGGGGGCTGCGCCTACCTGATGAGCCCTAAGCGGACGGACGAAACTGGTCGTGGGCTGTCGAAGAGTTTTCAGCAACCTTCTGAGTAGTTTCCTCAATGGAAATCCGGTCTAATCTTTTACACTTTGCATGGTTTTAAATTTCAGAAATCCCCAACATGAAGCAAACTGTAATGCCAAAGTCATGAGAACATGTGACACTCGAGTTTGTCGAGTTCTGTACTTCGAGGAGTGACGGATTCTCTTTCCTCGTCGAAGTGTAGTTGGTTCGATCCAGATTCCTCACAGGTTAATTGTCTTAGTGTACAAAGCCTTAGGTCTTCAGTCGTTGGATGCCTGTTGAACACTGTCTGAACTATTTGTTTCCGAGTTGGGACTTTCATAGGCTTCACAAATTGCTGAGCGAGTTTGCATTATCAGCCAGAAATTGTCGCATTATTTTACAACGTTAAGTGAGAACCTTTCCTTTTAAAGATCCGGCTTAGGAAATTTCCAACCATCTTTGCATGTTTTTTTATTTTTCTGAATGCGCTTCATTTGGCAAACTTCGGCTTCACTAAATCCGAAAGAAAGCCTTGAGGTGTATTTCAACTTTCACGAGACAAAAATGTGAACAAGGTGATTATTTTTCAACTTTTCTGTGGGGTAAATGTTGTGGATAGTAAGGTGCGTTGTGTCGCATGACTTCACCTCTCATTGTGTCTGTTTTCGGAACCGTAAATCCGGACTAATTTCTTAACTAACTCATTTGGGTTAGGCAAAATATCCCACGTTTATCACGTGTTGAGTAGACCAATCAGGTTACTGTGCCGCATTCTATCTGACATAGTGTTTCTGTAAATGGCAACAATAATCGTTCAGCTGCAACACCCCTTCAATATCCAGCCAAAGGAATCCCGAGGGTAGAGGTTCCCCCCTGTTAAACAGGTGCAGTCGGGAGACAATAGATGGTTTCGAACAACGGATCTTCTGGTCACTCATTTCGCGCGTTAACCGCTGAGCTTTCTCGAGCTCAGAAATGATCATTCAATCGTGATATCCTTTCTGTGTCTGGCTGTTTTGCTTCCCAGAAGGAGCATAAGGGCTGCGATACTACCAGGTTGTCTAGATAGCAGCAGCCAAGATGATAAGGTTGGATTCGAACCAGGGATCTTCCGGTCTGTAAGTCTGTGCCTTAACCACCCGGCTGTCTTTTGTACCATCTGACTTGAATACCAACCACTGATGGGAATACCTTTCATTATACATCGTATTGGGTAAAACGATATTAGTGGCGTTCAAATGTCTAACTACTGTCCCTCTAACCATTTGGTTTGTTTTACGATGACATCTAAGAACTAATTCAGATGGCTAATTGCTTCTGTTCGCAACTTTTCCAACCTGCCGGTTGGTACCGTCCACCAGGAATCCGCTTATTAACACATCCGCTTATCCACATTGCAAACCAGGAGTCAACATCTCTTACGCAACAAATTGTCTGAGAAGGGACTTTGTAGCAAGCCAGAGTCGATAGGGCAGCCAGCAGAGCCAAATTGAAGCGCACACCCAGCCCCTGTCTGATAAAGGTGATGACCAACCCAGACTGAGGGAAGATTCTAGGACGATTGCCTGTAACATGGCTGCAGGAATTAAAAACAGCTGCAGTCCTTGTCCGGATGTGACGTGCTACTCATAAGGTTTCTGAAGTCTCTTCGATGGCCCAAGACCGTTTTCGCCCTTCTTGGTGTTCATCAGGAGGTTGAAGTTCCCGGATTTCCATCAACTCTATGCTAAAACTACAGTCGAATTGAGATCCTCCGTCAACCCGTGTCTCGACCGATGTTATCTTTCTTAGGCTTCAAAAATAACCGTATGAGACACTGAACACAACCGACCACTGTTGCCTTTGATTTGAGCTTTCTGGCTAACAGTTTTCTCCCTTGTTGCATAAGGCTTTCACAAGACACCGCGATGAACCCACTGACTGGGTCATGCTTCCATAATGGCGTTCGATTTTCCTTAGTTTATTGACACGAGAAATCACAGGTGTCTTACTTTTGACCGTTCTGTGCGTATCATGTCCCCATGCGTCGTTGCTCGTTCATTCCACCCTTCCGACCTAGGCAGTATTTCCTCACGGTTGTACACTAGCAGTAAGGCGAGATGGCCCAAGTGGTTAGAGCGCGAATTTACTGACTGGAAGGTCCGTGGTTCGAATCCGACCTCCGCCACTTGACTTCCCCTGTCTAGGCTTGGGCGACGTGGCAGTATCCCAGCCCTCGTGCTTCCTTCGGGTTGCACGGCAGTTAAGCACCCAAATGGTGCTACAGCGGAAAGATTTTTTTACTACTTGTTTATTGTTATGGATAGTAGATAGAAGGTTTCTAAAATCTTTCAAAGTTTCTCAATCTCCGTTTGTTCCGTAAGGTGCGATGTACGGCAAACTCAGTTGTAGTTTTTTTCTCGACCAAAAGTGGTTTTCAGAAAATCAATAATAAACTTACTGGTAAACAAAAGGATATATTTTTTCATAAGATATGCTACCATTGCTTAGACGCAGAAGTTTGATAGCTTATGAATTGCAATAAGAGACTTCTAAATATGTACCAATTCTTGCGCTCAGTGGAAGCCGTAATCTGAAGTACGTAATTTTTGTATTGCTAGCAGCCCTGAATGTTTGATTGATTTTTCATATTCTGTCTGAAGTCTACTTCTTCTTTTTTCTATCAGTAAACGACATTAGTCGAGATTCCATTCAAAGAGCATTCGGTACCAAGAGGATCATGCCATCACCAGGGCATGACTTCTCCCAAACTGAACATTCCGCAAGTCGGGCCACACCCTCCCAAGATACAGGTCGACTGTTGACTTTTCGTGGCTCAGTCACAACACCAGTGTCACGCAGGGCAAGTCAACAAACCCCCAGTTCCAGCAGTCTGGGATTATCACTCATGAGCATCTTCGCCGCCAAGAAAATGTCCCGGAGATTCCTAGCCGCACTTTCGGAGCACGAAGGACGTGACAGGAGGTCCGGATCCTTCAGAAAGATATGTGAGTTGTGTCGAGGTTTTCGGTGGGAATATTTCTACTGGTATTTTACGCGTCTAAGAAAACGACTTCCATCTGTCCTGATTCTCATTTTCATATCGTTTGACATTATTTCAATGAGTACTTTCACCACTTCATCAGCCGCACTAAATTGCCAATTTCTGAACCAATAGGCAAACTCTCACCAATCTTATTTAGAGAACCACCTCCTAAATGGTCTCAAACAAATCAACAAATGAACCTTCTGACGATGCATATTCCAATGAAAATATGCAATCTCACATTCAGGTACAGTGAGATTAGTGAAGCACTCAAGGGTTGAATTGATAATAAACCGAAACCGAGAAGTTACTTATTCCTCGCTCAAAAATTTGATGACTTTGATCAGTTGAACACTCGCCGTAACATTTGGTCATTTAAGGATTACTCAGTACCTCCATTAGTGGTGTGTTACGTCTATGTTCAAAGTCAGTTCCCCATAAATTTGTCACAACCCTCCTTCCATGTGTTCGTTCGTACTGAAATGGATGTTAATTTGCTCGCGAGTTTGACATGTGGCATTCAAAATTCTCCCCAAGTAGGAGGTTTTAGTGTGCTCACTGATGGTCGACAGTCACCGAAAACTCCCGCTGTTTCGGCAGTGAAAACGATTTCAGTCGTTACACGCAGAAAAGAGCTCGTCGGTGAGAGTAGTTCACCTGTCGACAATCTCCCACACCACAACATGCGCACCGGTTACGTCTTTTTGAATATTGATGGAATACGCAACTCGGCAGGTAGTTATTCGAGTGACACTGAATCCGCGCGCACGAGCCACCAATTACTTAACATACACAGGTGAGCAAATTTTAAGGGTCGTTTGTCTAACGTGCCAAGGATTCAGGTCCCAAATAAGGCATTAGTTAACTAGATATACCTCAAAAGCAGCGAAATATCTTAGACTTTCAATTCTCCGGAACATTGTTTCTCTTCAACAAAACCGCCCGCCAAATTCTGAGCCTCACCAATCTGAGAGTAGACGAGACGATAAGTCTCACTCGGAAAACAAGTGTCCTTCCAGAGAGATAGCATTGACCTTTCACAAGCACGTCTTTCTCGTATAAGCTGCTTGTGACTATAACACTATATTACTATAAGAATTGACTGAATCAAGCTCTGATTTCCATTGGGTACCTCCTGCCTTGTACTTAACATCATTTTCGTCGTTTTGTTTGCCAAAGCTTCCATTACAACCCTTGTCTCATAAGCGACTGTCCTGAATCTGCCATCTTCTACCTTATTTTGAGTGGTGTTGCTTGTAGGTGCGTAACATTCCAAAATATTTCGGGTTGATCCCGACGGATGCCCACTCCGTCTCTTCGGAGTGGTCAGTGTCAACATGAACGCCAAAAAAAACAGCCCGCTGCCCAAACATTGGAGTTAAACTTTACTTTGGAACCGATGACCAATACCGTCAAGGATGTCACTGTTGCGTTTGCTTCACTAATATTCAACTATACAAGACAGGACTCAGGTTGTTATCTTGCCCTGTGAGAAATCACCTCCGGACCACTAAAGCGGCTTGAAGGTCATACATCAAGTTGGAGAGTATCAAGGGAGACTAAAATACTCAACAATGTCACACTTTTATCCTACAGCGAAGAGCTATCTGCTCCCTCACAGCACGGTGAGGAGCAACGCCGTCGCTATTCACCTAGTTCTAAAGAATGAATATGCCGTAACGTGACCCTGGTTCATGTACAGAAAATGAGGGGAATGGAACGTCCCCAGGAGCCAAATGCATGCATTCAGTTGAACCTAGTGTCATCGAGACCGAGTACCCACAAGACTGACCCTCCCTTTTTACCTAACACAAACGTATTTTTATGTGTATTTCGTCGTGTAAGTGAAGGCAGTTTATGCTGAAATGCCGAGAAGCACTGCACAACTGTTTCATCCTTGTTTGCGCATCTGACGAAACTCCTGAGACTTTCGGCCACGAGAGGCCGATCGACAGCCTGATTAACTTGAACCCAGACAGGATATAACACCGCTCATCCTTGACTCACGGAATCCAAATCACGTGGTCATATGTATTCCACTTTCAAGTAGATTATCATGAAGTTTTAGTGGTTTCAAAACCTGTGTAGCGTGGCAAATGTGAACCGCGAGTTATTTCATGAATCCTTAGTGTGCTAGGATGCCAAATGGGGTTCGCCCAGCTGTCTGTCACACATCTACTTCTGTAGAGCCTAAGGTGAACATTGATCTAGTCCCAATATACGGGCGAGATGAGGCTAGTATATTCATACTTCTTTATGGCTCTTCATTTTTTTCAATCCAAGTCAGCCAGGAGATAAGTGGACCTTTAGAAGTCGGGATGTCAAGTGCAATAATGTATTCAGAATCAGCTTAATATTGAGGGGCGGCAGTTAATATACGATGTGAATACCCAGATTTGTGGATACTCAAATAGAATATCTCAAAGTGTGTTTAGTAATCCAGCGCCCCAAAAAACCCTAAAGAGCGTGATGTTTTGGTTTGCCAGATCAAGCTAATATTTTGCTTTGGGATCCACAAACTACGCTCTGAGTAATCTTGTATCCCCTTGCTGACTGGATATCTTCGGTTTTTCTCACTTGCCCCCCGTTGTCAACGAAAATTCTTTATTACTTGCCCGTTTGTGAGTAATATGATTTATCTAAGATGTTTGAATAAGACGGAAAGGTCCAGTACGAGTATTCACCCAACCTCATTTCTACATTCCATCATTGGATCACCGCAGCAGCCGGACTGTGTTGTTTAGAACACGCTCCACTGACACACTAAGACATTTAGTCTGATCTGTTGTCCAGCAAATTTATCATGACGCAGTGCAGTTGTCCTCCATCAAAGAAGGGATAACTCATATTTGACAGGTGAAGTTTTTTCAGGGCGTTTGGCCTGTGATTTTACTTGTACTCATTAGGACGCCCCTACTGGACATCGTATGGTGTCAGACAGAATAGGGGAAAACAAATTCACTCTAATGAGACATGGAAGAACGAATCCCCAAACCGATGGGGCGTTTTTCAAAAGAATACAGGAACACAACCTCACTTCACTGAGGCGTTGAACAACGAAGAAGGATCCAGTATCATAGCGTTTTTTGGCCGGGACAAGCGCAAACAAGTGCTTTTCATGTCATCTACCAGGCACCCCAAAACCGATCAACTTTATTGAGATTTAGGTTGTTGTCGAGTACTGAGGCCCTCGAAATCAGGTTGAATAACCTGCAGCTTTGCTTTTAAGAGAAACGAATAATACCTTGGAACTTGTTGTGACCAAAGGTCAGTCAAACTGCACTCCCTAGAATTTACATTCACCTGATCTCTCACTCCTGAGTAACTTTATGGGCCTCTGTACATCCTTTACCAGTAGATATTCTGTGTTTATGTAAAAATTTCTGATTCACTTTGTTCGCAACGCCGTTGTTTTTCTGTGGCTCACGTACCTTAATATGACAAATCTGCAAGTGCATTATGGTTGTCTCAGTCTTAGAATAGTGGCGAATGCATGTAGTTTGAACTCTACAAAACCGCTGTAATCGTGGAAGGTAGTGCGAAGAAACTTGGTGTTTTTCCTGAATTGAGATTTCATCTTGTAACTAAAACCAGTCTGAACAGCTAGTTTATCTTTATTGAGGATTTTCAGGGCTACTCATCTCATGAAACTCCCGGCTGTTTCGAAATCACAACCTTCTATCCTGTGGGTTGAACACTCAACCAGTTGAACAGGACAGGGTGTCTAGAAAAGTCATCAATGCGTACTTAGACGGGATACAGCGACACTCATTCTTCACATTAAGTGAACATTTATTCACTGGCTCGCCGAGTGAATACTTCTCAGATGGAATTTTCACTGTTGCAAAACTACTCTTCCTCTGAGCTACTGATAGATTGACTAGTGTGTAGAAATTTGGTTATTGGCGAGTTGAGATTTCGTCCTGCACCTAGGTTTCGTTTGAGTGGATGAGAATGGATGAGAGTTGACCGATCTGTTGAAGCATTCCACATGCGATTTCATTATCTGTACAGTGTGATCAATTAGCTTATTTATGTTGAAAGCCATCACCCAATTTGCTGGGTAGTTGGTAACTTTGACATTACTATTCTGCCTGTTGAACCTCTCAGCTAAGACCAAAATACGGGACAGAAAAAAGAGGAACCTTGGTCAACGAGAGGAACTTGGTCATTAAACGAAGGATACCCAAAGCAAACAAACTGACCCGGGGACGAGCGAGTGTGCCAACTTGGCGACAAACTTGTGAGACCACATTTGAAAGTCATCTTACCTACAGAATCTTACAATCTCTACACTAACGTCTGATTCCTTTAATTACAAGTGGGAGATTGCTGAGCTATCCCTAAAATAACTTCTTGTTCTCGAGAAATACACTCATTTGTAAATCAATTCGGTTTTCACGAGAGACTCAACTGAGCCTCTCGTTTATGACATTCTACAACTGAATGCACACTGGCCACCTCATGTTTCAGTTGGCACGATATTCGAGATACCGCAGTATATTTTCATAGAGGAAACTGTTCACATGGTTGCTGAAAACTCTTCATCAGCCCACGACCGGTATTGTCCTTCTTGGGGCTCATCAGGTAGGCACAGTCGCCGAGTTTCGGTCAACCTTATGTTCTACTTGAACCCAAATTGGACTGTTTTCGAGAAATACACTCATTTGCAACCAAATTGATTTGCAAATGAGTGTATTTCTCGAAAACAGTCCAATTTGGGTTCAAGTAGAACATAAGGTTGACGGAAACTCGGGAATTGCCCTTACCTGATGAGCCCTGAGCGGAAAGGCGAAACCAGTCGTGGGTTGTCGAAGAGTTTTCAGGAACCTTGTGGGTAGTTTCCGTTATGAAAACCTCTCGTTCTCTACAGGAGGTATCTACACACCGGTTGTTTCTGCAGGATGACAACGGTGACCCTTCTCCCCGATGCAACCCCGTTGTTTACTGCCTTATTCAGCCAGCCTATCTACAGGGAAGGTGATGACTTGAGTCGCCCACTTTTTTGACGAACTGTTCCAAGACTAGAATGGCGTGGCTGATGAACGTGAAACTGTAAAGCTGCAGAATGTGAATGTGATTGAACCGAGTTGAATGAAGACCAAATAACTTGACTTGGCATTCAAGAAATGGTGTAGCTGCAAAGCACGTGGTTCATATTGATTCGCTAATCAACTGAACTTCGCTCAGGCATTTTTTTTGCACGCGGGAGTAATGATTTACACATTTGAAGAATGGCATAAACTAGAGGTTTAGCTAACAACGAATCAATTTGTAAATGAGTTAAAACAAAAGGCTGGTGGGACTGGGGAGACTGCGTCCCACTGGTGATCGCCGTAGTCTGTAGTCGGCTGTTGGAGAGTTTTCGGATAAACTACAGATAGTTCACTGTGTTAAGATGTATGATAGTTTGCTTGTTTTGGCCAAAACAAAAACATGGATAGCGCAAGACTGTTTGTACACATTGGCCTGGCTTATTTGAGTCTTTAGCAACTGCCTCCACTGTGTGAAGAATTTGGAGCATACAATACAGTAGATATCTGCGAAATACAGTCTCAAAGGCGTATGGTGCGTTCCGACATTTAATCGGGAGTAAAATCTGTTGGTTGGTGATATTTAACGGAAAATCTTTCCAAGAAAACCCAGTGTGCATACCCAGTGTGCATTGGGTATCCATGTCGATAGTTAATGATTGGCTTGACGTCAATCATGGTTTACTTTTAACTCGGAGAGAAGAATCAGGAAGTGAATTTTCCTTTTGCACTCCAATGTTTTGACCA